ACCTCGGGCCAGTCAACACTTTTTCAGCCTAACCTACTTAACAGGGCTGTTGTGAGGATAAAACGGAAGAGAGGAAGAAGAAGAAGAAGAGATTGGATTTATACCCCGCCCTTCACTTGGAGTCTCAGAGGGCTTACAAACTCCTTTCCCTTCCCCTCCCCACAACAGACACCCTGTGAGGTAGGTGGGGCCGAGAGAGTTCTGACAGAAACTGCTATTTTCAAGGACAGCTCTTGTCAGAACTATGGCTTGCCCAAGGTCATTCAGCAGCTGCGAGTGGAGGAGTGGGGAATCAAACCCGGTTCTCCCAGATTAGAGTCCGTGCACTTAACCACGACACCAAACTGGAGAATGAGGTAAGAGACTGTGGGTCCCCATTGGGGAGAAAGGCTGGGTATAATGAACAAAATAAATAAATATAAACACACACTATTTAACACATACTTACGGGACCGCCTCTCCTGGTATACCCCCCCGAAGAGCATTACGCTCAGGTGAGAAGAACCTCCTGCAGATCCCTGGCCCGAAAGATATCCAGCTGTCCTGAACCAGAGCCAGGGATTTTTTGGCCCTGGCGCCAACCTGGTAGAACTCTCTGCCGAGTGACATCCGTGCCCTGCGGGACTTAGCGCAGTTCTGCAGGGCCCGGCAAGACACAGTTGTTCCACCAGGCCTATGGTTGAGGAGAGGAAGGGTTTCCCTTCAAGCCCGGCTCCCTCATTCTTTCCCCTCCCCCACGGGGCAAGGATACAATTGATTTATCTAAGCGCCACCTGAAGTTGAAATTGCTATGGAATCATTACTGTTTTAAATGGTTTTTCGCTTACTTGTAAATATATCTGTTTGAAATGTTGTCCACTGCCCCGAGCCCTGCGTGCTGGGGAGAGAGGCCTACGAGTCGAATAAATCAATCAATCAAACAAACAAATAAATAACTTCATTTATAACCTGCCTTTCTCCCCAAACGGGGACCCAAAGCAGCTTACCACGTTGTTCTCCCCTTCTCCATTTTATCATCACAACAGCCCTGTGAGGTAGGTTAGGCTGAGCGTGTCTGACTGGCCCAAGGTCACCCAGCAAGCTTCCAGGGCACAAGGGGGGATTCGAACCCAGGTTTGCCAGTTCCTAGCCCAACACTCTTAACATATCTTTTACCCAGTTTGTTGGAGGTGAAGGACTTTGCGCTGTCTCTTAGCCTCAGACTTCAGAGGGGTGACTGTATAGAGAGTCAGAAAGATAGATAGGCCAGAACCCTGATCATCCTTCTGCTCTATTGCTCTGATACTATCCCTCTGATGTGTAGACGGCTACTCTCAGGGAATCTGCCTTCCTTCCATCTGGACACCTTCTCTCCACACTGTGCTGTTCTTCTCCATCTTGGCACCATGATGCCTGCATCTTTATCCATCCTAGCTAGTTAGACTAGATTACAGTCCTATTCCTATCCTTTCTATAATGGAGTCCCTTACACTAAATGACTCATTTTAGTCTTTGCAAAGAAAAAGAGGCTCCATCTGTAACTTTGTTTCTTGTCAGACTCAGCACACACAAACCAGATGGGCTCTGCTGCATTATGTGCCTTGAGCACTCTGCTAACCCAAATAATCCTTCACAGTTTAGGTGAGACATCCCTGTTCTTTTTTCCCCTCCTGGCCTCAGTCTTGCACTTTTACCAAAAATGGGTGCCATTTAGAGTGTGGGAGTACGGTTGCCAGCTCTGGGTTAGGAAATACTTGGGAGATTTAGGGGGTGGAGCCTGGAGAGGGAGAAGTTTGGGGAGGGGAGGGCCCTCAGCAGGGTATGATGCTGTAGAGTCCACCCTCCAAAGAAGCCATTTTCTCCAGGGCAACTGATCTTTGTCATCTGGAGATCAATTGTAATAATGAGGGACTCCCCAGGTGCCACCTGGAGTTTGGCAACCCGACACAAGGGCCGTGGCTCCTTTCTCTGTGTTTCAGACCAAACATGACTATATTACAGAAGGACCTCTCTGCAAGGGTAAGAGCACTGCTGGTTCAGGCCCAAAGACCAGCATCCTGTTTCCAATGGACAAAAGAGATGCTTCAGGCAAGGCAGGATGGCCTCATTCATTGTCTATCCCCCAACAGTGGATAGAGATGTACTGCCTTCGAATATGGAGGTTCCATTTAGCTATCACGGCTTATATGTGTTCACAATTTATTTCCTTCTTCAGTTTGTCTAATCTCACTTTAAAGGAGGGATAAGGGATATATTGGCCCCGGTTACACAGGCCGGATATCGTGGGGGGGAGGCGTGGCTAATTGCCCCGGCGCAGTTTGATCCGCAATTATGCAATCAGACGCGCCGGCGGCACACCACGGTGCCGGTGGGTAAACAAGGGTGGCAATCACATTAGGATCCTGCAGCACGGCAAAGAAGCGGTGCGATCACACCAGCAATGGCTAGGCGCCGCTGCCATGACAAACGGGGTCATTTTTTAAAAAAGCCGAAACGGCACTTTCGCTTTCCTCTTTGTGCGCATGCGCCATTGGGTGCTTGTGCACATCTTGTGGAGACTTGGGGGGGGGGGGACTGTTTGCGAAGGGACATGGGCGGGCGCCGGATGCCACCACCAGAAACGCGATCAGACGCCACTCCTTGCCCCGCAGTTTCCAGAAACTAGTACCTTGGAGGTACTAGTTTTTTACCCCGCATCTTCGGCGGGAAGCCTCGGGTTCGCCACGGGAGCTCTACGCTTCCCAGATGTGGCGCTGTGATCGCACCCGGAAAATCCGCCTATCTTCCGTCTCTGTAGCGTAGCTAATGCTCTGTGTGACCGCAGCCACCATTAGGTATAACAAATTAAGCACAACACATACCACTATCATGGGTTCGTTGGTTTGTTTTGCAATTTAACCTGGCATCCTGGCACTGGAAAAAAATCTTGCTTCTCCTGTCGCTGAGCTCCCTTTGCTTCCCTCCCCAGCAGAAAGGGCTTGCATTGAAATGTTGCTGATCAGAGCTTTTCCACGCATGTAAATAAAGGAACAGAAAAAAGCACCAACTAATCATTTTAAAAGGACTACGGTGTAACTTGTCACACAACTCTGTAACAATGTCAGTAACGATCCTGACATTCATTATTATTGATTCACAATTGTGACGATGAAACATTTTGTGTATCGGTCTGATGCGAAAAGGCACAAAAACACCAGGGGGGGGGAGAAGGGGGAGGAGGCCTCCTCCCCCTTCACAAGCCGCTGGCTATCCCCTTGGGGTTGACAACCTCCAGGTGGTGGCTGGGGATCTCCCGGAATTACAACTGAACTCCAGACTACATAAAGCATTCATTAATTTATTTATTTAAAACAAGCTTTCCACTTCTCCCGGAGAAAATGGAAGGGGGACTGCACGGCATTCTACCCTAGCAAGGTCCCGTCTCTCCCTAAACCTCGCCTTTCGCAGGCTCCAGTTTGAAAACTTCAGGGATTTCCGAACCTGGAGTTGGCAACCCTATCAGGCCCCCGCTGCCGGCCCCCCCCCCCCTTCTGCTGCTACCCGGCCTCTTTACCAATGAATGGAGGCGCCTGCCGGGGTCACGTGACGCCCCGCCGCGTAATGTTCACCCAGCGAGCCGGGCCGCCTTCCTATTGGCTGCCGATGATGTCACCCTACAACCCTTCCCCCCCTTCTGTTTCCTTCTCCTTCTCCCGTCAAAAAGCTGCTCCGGCACCGAAGCCAAGGAGAAAAAGATCAACAAGGAGAAAGAGCAGACCAGGAACGGGGGAGGGGGGAGAGTGTCCTTCAACCGGGGGCTCGGAGGGGGTGTCAGCGGCGAAGATCCCCAAACCCAGACCCCTGCCCCATTTCAGCATCCCCCCAGCCCCTTCCTTCCAGCCCCGAAGCCTCATGGATTTCACCCTTAGGATCTGATGCAGGTGAGTTCGCGGCGGGGCATGGGATTGGGCGGGGGGGAGCGATGTGCGTGCAATGCCAGGTGCAGGTGGGAAAGGTGATGTGACAGTTGCAAACACCTGGGGATTTTTCGGGGGGGGGGAACTGTGCCACCAGTGTCTAGATCTATGCATTTGCAGTGATGGCATTGCTTGTTGTTGTTGTTGTTGTTTTTGTGGGGGGAGAAGGGTTACATATATGCAAAGAGACCCAACGTCAAAGGGGGGGGGGAAGAAGTGGGGTGGGTAGGAGAGCCAGGATCCCGCTCTCTCCTAAGGTGGCGACGAGTGGGTGTTTGTTTGTGGTGGCTGTCGCCTCGGTTTGTTGTGACAGATTATTCTTTGGGGGCGCGTAGGAGGTGGAAAGGGGGAGGGAGCCGGTGCTGGGCTGCAGGGGGGTGGTGTAGGTGACACGGGGGGGGGGGAGAGAACACACAGAGAAGAAAAATCCCGTTTCCCTGGTAGGCATCGACACAGGCGGTTCGAAGAGGGAACGGGAGGTGGTTCGGTTCTCCCCTTACAGGTAGCTTTGTGCCTCCTGAACGCAGCGATGACATCGAGGGCTTATTTTAGGTCAGTGATGCCACGGCAGTTCTGGGGACGCCGGAGAGTTGGCTTTATATAGAGCCGGGTGCAAGCCGCAGCTGTAAGTGAGGCGTGCGTTTACACGTGCGCCAGGAGCTCTACCTGCAGGGATTTGCATGCACCCGCCACTGTGGATAACTCATGTCTGGAGAAGCCAGCCAGTGAAACAACTGACAGGCAGGTCCTTAGTTCCCCAGGGTGTCTTCAGGATGTGTGAACTTTATAAACCCAGGATGTGTGCAAAAAGCATACACGTGTACACCTGCTCTGCCATAGTTGTGCCCAGGCATGCACAAGCACACCTGCACCCCCCCATATGTCAGCAGCCTTTGAGCCCCCTTCTCACACCCAAGGGACGTGCCATTTTGTCCATCTTCTTACTCATAAAATGTGTACCTTGCCTTTAAAATAAAAATGCGGTGGGGGTTATCGTGAGCTGCGTTGGTGGTCCCGGGTGAGCCACAAACTCTCAGAGATTTGGGGAGTGCCTTCCTTACAGGGATGTGGTGAGGATGCCTAAGTATGTGAAGCGCTTTGAGCATGCGGAATCTCCGATATATAAATGCAAATGTTGCTATGATCAAAACAGATGACCTGCAATTAGAAAATTTTACAAGCGTATTCATGCCTGCTCATTTATTTACCTCCGTTCCTGGAACGTGCATCATGTACTCCTTCTGAACTGTCAAGAGTGGACAGATGTTGGGAACTGGGCTTAAGGGACACTTTGTAGACAATGGCAGCTTGCACATGCACGGTTTGTTGCAGATCCTCTGTTTTCTTACCTTGAAGATTCCCCACTGACACACACACACCCCAGTCAGATAGGGCTAGATTTCAGGGCTAGATCCACTCTTACTTTTAGCAAGGAGCGCACGGAATTTTATCCATCACTTGAGGAATGCAAGCCCTTTGCATGTGAGAATGTGCGCTTGTGGATCAAGCAAGATGGGTAAAAAGCCTCCGTATCCCCTTAGGCCCCAAATAGATGCTACATCTGGCACGAGTCAGATCAGGGTTCTCCCAACCCGATTCCACTCTTTGCACAGCCATAGATAACATTGGGTGCCCAATTCATCTCAAGATCACAGCAAAGGGAGAGGAGGACCTTCAGCCACAAGGTCAATGCAAGGGGAAGGGAGAGTGTGTGAAAATGGAAATAGCATAATTGCTGGTCGAATGGGTGTGTCCTAAAGATGCCTTATATAGATTTTATTATTTAGCCCAATATTGCGAACTCTGACCAGCTGTGACTGTTCGGAGTCTCAGACAGGGGTCTTCACCAGGTCTGCCATCGGAGATCCTGTGAACTGGAGATGTCAGGGTTTGACCCTGGAATCTTCTGCAACCCAA